TTTGTGGCAAAGCAGTTTTAGCAAAGCAGAACTGGGACTCTCAGTCGTTCGCCCTCTGGTGCCTGGAGGAGGAAGAGTGTGGTATGTTGAATATGTTAGAAGGAAGGAGGAGGAGATTTGCTTTTTATTCTTTTTTTTTTTTTTTAATAGACTTTATTTTTTAGAGCACTTTTAGGTCCACAGGATTTTATTCTTTATATACTCCCCTTCTAACTTCCACTTTTCTTCTTTCCTTCTCAGCTGAGGATCACAAAAGAATTTTTACGTGCTGTTTTCTGAATGCAGCTTTATGTTCCTGTTGTAAAGTTCTGATTTCTTCTTCATGCTACCATAAACTGTGGTTGTGAGTTACTAAGTGTTCTCGCTCTGTAGCTTACTTTTAAAAAATGGATGTTGCAATCATTACTTACTTTTTACTCCCATAAAATCCTTGACTGATCCAACGATCCTCTCTCCTCCACGGCCTAAAGTTGGTAGCTGTTCAAAAAACGTTTTAACTTTTCAGGCTCCAACCCAAGACATTTGCAAGGTGCGGCCCAGTACACATCTATACATGCGTTTCCTGAAACAGCACAGAGACTGTCATTATTTGCTTGTACAACAAGCACTCACTCTTTTGGGTTTTTTTCCTTCTAATTCAAATCCTCTAAAATAGGTTTTGACCCGCAGTTAGAAGAACAGGGTCCTAAAGACTATAAGCTTTGGGAGTGGAGACCTCTAGTGGCCATGCACACACATTTGCACTGGAAGCTGACGGAGGACATAAAATCTTATTTTAGACTTCTTTTTGCTGAAAATTTATGTTATAATCAACGGAAATGGAGAAAGAAAAAAAATGTGTCTGGAAAATTCAGGACAACAAAAGAGACAAATTACAGTGTCAGTCTTTCTGTGAAACAAAAGGCACATTCATTATTGCACATCACCAAGAGAGGCTGTCTTAGACTCTTAATATTTTAGTAAAATATTGTGATTATGCCTGAATGCACCAAATTAGCTAATTGTGTCATCGCTTTTTCTTTTTTTTTTTTTTTTTGAGATAGAGTCTCGCTTTGTTGCCCAGGCTAGAGTGAGTGCCGTGGCATCAGCCTAGCTCACAGCAACTTCAATCTCCCGGGCTCAAGCGATCCTCCTGCCTCAGCCTCCCCAGTAGCTGGGACTACAGGCATGCGCCACCATGCCCGGCTAATTTTTTCTATATATATTAGTTATTTATAGTAGAGACGGGGGTCTCACTCTTGCTCAGGCTGGTTTCGAACTCCTGACCTCGAGCAATCCGCCCGCCTCGGCCTCCCAGAGTGCTAGGATCACAGGCGTGAGCCACCGCGCCTGGCCGTGTTGTCACTTTTGATGCCTGGAAGAAAAATGTCTTTCTGAGTCTATACGATGTCTTACCGTTGAATATTTATGATTATGAGTTTGCACATGTTAAGAACTGAGCACTTTTTTGTCAATTTATTCTCAGAAGTGCAGAAAATACAGGGTGGCCACTTTCCCAAGGCGTGCACCTGAACTTCTGAGTCTCTGGGCATATTATGGGGGGGATGTTCAGAACGAGCCTGCTTGAAACGTAGGAATGTTAGGAGCAGGGGCTGTAATGACACTCTCGGCCTTGGAGGCGGGTTTAGAGACTATAACCCAACTCTTCCATCTTGCAGACGACACTGAAGCCTAGGGAGGCGCAGCCCACCAGAGACGATGGGAGCGTGGACTTGGCTGCCGGGTTGGGGTTCGAGCCCAGACCTTTTCCCTTGTGAGACGTGGCTGCTACTTCACCTCTGACGGCTGTAGCTAAAGCGGACATGGGAAAAGTTTTGTGGACTCGCCGACTTGTGGCAAGGCCACTACTGTCAACACATGTCAAGCAGGTATTTCAATGATTTTTAAAGGGAAGCTGGGGGACCTTTTGTCTCATAGGTAGCATTTTAGAGAAACTTGTAAAAATCACAAAATCACATGAAGGGATCTTCTACCACTCTCGGCCCAAATGAGAGCACTAGGAGACTGCCCACTGCAGTGGCCAAACCTAGGACTGGAAGCTAGTTTGTCTGAGCCTTTCATGCCAAAGCTCTTCTCACGAAACAAGGGTGCCCCAAAGGAAGGAGAATTGGAGTTTTGTTTTCCCTTAACAATGCCCTTCCAATATTGCAACTAATTATGCATCTGACTAGGTTCATATTCTCACACTATCGACCTTTGGTGACATGATCATGCAAAGGCTTCTCTGATATCCACTGAAATATTCTCACTTGAGATGAAGAAATAGCAAGGAAATTCACTTAGTGAATAAAAAGTTCTCCTTTGCATTGTTGAATAAAATATTCCAAAGTATGCCACATGTTGCAGAATGGCATTTGAGGTGAAATCAAAGAAACCTGGGATCAAATACCAGCTCCACCGCCTTAGCTAGCTGAAGTCTTTTAGCCTCATTTTCCCAAATCAGTTAAAAATATTTTTTTTTTCACCAACATGCCCAATGTGCCATATTTGTAAAGGAATCTGGCACATGGGGTACTCATATGTCATTACCCTTTCCTTTATATTGGCTAAAAAATGGATTTCTGTTAACTGAGGTATATCTTCAGCATGTTCTTGAATATATATTCCCACGGGAACCAAACTTCGGGGTTTGTTTTTACATTTTGGCAAAGAAACAATAGAGATCATTGAAACACCCGGTATTCTGTGTCTGGTATAGGTCTGGGGGGTCTTGGTATGGTCTGTAACACACAAACAGGACGCCCACTCCCCATCTAAAAGCTCAGTCACCCAACTTCAAGGTCTCTTGTGTTCAGCTAATTCTCCATTCCTCCACTTCCTGCCATTCTCAGATAGAAGAACAAAGTTAGCTAACTCTTAAAACTTTCAAAGCTTTTGTTATTTTGAGATGCCTAACGAAACTAACAAAGTCATTTGGTTCTCAGGGTGAGTCACCATTTGAAAATTTCTTAAACCTGAGGTTTAGGTGATCATCATCATGTATTTAATGACCCAAGAGCCAGGAACTATGCAAACATTAATGCTGTTGTCACCACAACCGCCACATGAAGTAGGAACTGTTATCCCAGGATCTGGTAGCCCAGGCAGGTGACATAACTGAGAAGCTGGGATCTGAACCTTGGCTGAGCCCAGAGTGTGTTATTGTCCAATATGGGTGTGGCCTTTCCCGGTCTGTACATCCTTGCTGTTTTCCCTTCTCCTAGACTTGTTTAGCACTTACTCTGCACCACATAACTTAACAATTCCATGTCACCTTGTCCTGTCTTGGGGTTAGATTTATCTCATAGATCATATGCACCACTGTGTCCCCATCATCAGGCATGTAACTAACTTAGATAAAATAACCTGCAACTCACAACCGGGCTAAGAAAGGTAGACAGAGAACAGCTTTCTTCTGGGAAAGAACAGTTTTAAATCAGTATGCCATTTACATGTAAATGTGGTTTCAATCAAATGTGAACACAATTTCTCTTCACCTAAGTATCCCTCAGAAACTTTTCCCATTTCATGTTAAACTCTGCAAGGCACTCTGCAGATGCACCAGTATTCGGTAAATGAAAGAATGACTACAGAAAAAAGGTTTTGATGGGTCCTTAAATGTCTGTAAACTTAGAAAATGATAGAAATACCACCCAAATCTGGGAGGAATTGAATTTCAAGAGCTTGAAAAGGACTAAATGGCAAAATTTTTTGCCCATTTTGAGTGAGGGCAACAAAGTTCACTAACATACAAGCCACACAGTCTTGGCGCCATCACTGCTCTACGACTCAGTTTCCATTGTAAAAGGACTTAAGTTGGCTAGATCAGGTTTGTTCATACTTTGACCCCCAGCCACAGCAAGAAATTCATTTTTTGTCATGACCTAACAGGACACATGTTTATATCTGAAACAAATTTCATGAAGCAATACTTATGCTTAACTTGTGCAGGGCCCTCTGATATTTGCTGTCAGTTTGTCTTATTAAAATATTTTTTTTTCCCTTCTCTCATATTTTTTTTTTATTTTGGCATATTATGGGGGTACAGATTTTAAGGTTTCAATAAATGCCCATTTCCCCCCTCCCTTATTAAAATATTGATTGCTACTAACTAAACGGATGCCATGATCCCCTATTTGTGTAAAAAGCCTGAAAAACACTGGTGCTTTTAAATTCTCTAAGAATAAAATTCTCCAAGAGAGTAGCAAGCAAGGTAAATTTCCACCTTATTCTTCCTGACGATTCTCTGAAAGAGATTTCGACTATCTTTAGCATTTTGCAAATGTCAGTGCGACCTCCATTGTGATTTCATAAGATTGTCTCTTGGCAGTTCAGCAGCACACGGGTGACAAGTATTCCTTTCAGGAACTTTGTAGGCTGCAATGTCTTATGATGCAGCAAATAGCAATCATGCCCTGATTTGCCATCCACTTAGCAGATGAGCACCTAAGTTGTAAAACGGAATCTTAACTATCCTCTTATGATATGACCCATGAAATTTCCTGCCGGCTCCCCTACCCCTTTAAGTGGAGAGTTGGCCTGGCCAGTGTTGAAAAAGTTTTTCTCGGTACTGTATTAACCTGGAAGAAACATAAAACGTCAACTATTTTCTGTGGGCTGCTCTGCAGTGTTTACACAGTACTGGCTTATCCTGTGTCCTTCAATGAGTCAGAAAGCTTGGGGTGACTTACATTCTTATGACTTACTTGAAATTTGCCAGGGCAGACAACCAGTCTCTAAGCAAAACCAAGGAGCACCAAGCTAAAAACTTTGTTTGCACAGATGTAAAGGCCTGGAAATTTGGATGGCTAGGTCTGAATTTCAAAGTTTGTTTGTTTTAATTACACACTCAACCACATGCATAAAACCCCATGAAATGAGTGTGGAGAAAATGTCATCTTTTCTATTTTTAGGCTGAAATAGGGAGCTCATGGAAGTGAGGCTGCCATAAATTTTCACACTCGGGGATAAAACGACTTATATAACCAGGAAAACTACCGACACCACACACACCCTGAATCTAACAGTGGTAAACAGTTTTTATTCAGGCAATGAAACATGGAAAAAAATATATTAGTAATCATTATAATAATTTGTGTGAGTATAACTTTTACAAATATTTACTTGACATATAAAAAGGGAAATTACTGTGCATAAAAAATCTTCGTAGATGACTGTTCCACACGCCGCACTCCTGACCGCAGAGGCCAGTGCAGCGCCGTCTCTGCGGACGGGAGGCTCCTCACTCGCTCCGCGGCGCCCGCGGGGCACGGTGGAAGCAGATGTGCAATGGACAGTGACTCGCTGGCACGCGGTACAAGGGGATCTATTGGCAAACACACACTCGCTAACAGCAACACTGAGAAGTTCGCTGCCGCCTCTGGGGTGGAAAGGAAACGCTCGGATCCTCTCCCGACGCGGGGAAGGGCTGAGGCTGTGGCGTGGCTACCTACACGCTGCCCTGTGTCTGGACTGGGGGCGCTTTCAGAGTCCGAAACTTCCGTATGTCCATTTGAAAATCCTTTCATGAATATAGATTATCGGTTAACGATGTGATTAGGAAATACTTTTCTGGAGTCTGTTTCAGACACCACTGAATGGCAGAGGGGCAGAAAGAGGCCTCTTGCGGGCTCTAAAGTGAAGGACCGACACAGGGAAGGTTCGGTTCGGGCCACTCCTCAGCTCTGAGCCTGCCTCCTGTGCGCGCTGAAGCCCGGTACACACGCCACAGCCAGCACTGCACGCAATGTCTCCGTGTCAGGACTGTAACCAGAATATACATTTATATAACAGCTGTAACCATATTACAGTTAATAAAGTCATTCCTTAGGAATCTTTTTTGTCCAAATCTAACTGCATGCTAAGAGGCACAGAAATGGGATTGCATTTGGACGAAAAAACTATGAAAAGTGCAATCTTTAGTCTCCCGAATGCAAGCTCTGGCGCCAGGGAGTGGGTCTTCACTGGGGAACGCTCCCATCTGCATTAGCTTCCAGAGGACAGCCTTGGAGATAAGACTCAGTCTCTTTAACTTGACTACACGGGAGACTCAAGGATTTAGTGGTAAATTGCTTTTTAAAAATAACTGGAATCTGGAGGCCAGTCAAACCTTTTTGGATAGATGTCTCCTCAAAATACTTCTTTATTAAAATATTTGAAGATGACTTCTTAGACCTTTGGCTTGACATTCTGGGATTCCCAGACTATATTTGTTCTTTAATAAGCAAATAATGTTATCTTTTCAATTCTTCAGAATATATACATCTTTACTTTAAAATCCTTTTCGTGAATCATTTAATATCTTTCAACACCTCATTTCTCTTTTCCCAAGAGAATACGGTCGGAAACACAGGTCTGAGGGCAAGCTCACAGTCCCACAACTACAAAGAGACAACAGGCATGAACAATTCATGAGACGGCTACCAATTCAAGTGAAAAACCAAAAGGAAATAAAGGGGAGCTTTGGAACTTTTACTCCACTAAAAATGGATGTGCTGAATCACGTCCAACTCAGTGTACACAGGACTTACCAATGCTTTGCTCTTAAAAAAAACCCCTTTGTGAGCTTTAGAGCCACCGCCGAGCCCTTTGCTACCTTGACTGAAAGTAAGTGCTTCAATCTGGCCACTTCAGTCAGCCCAGGCACGCTGGGGGCCGTTATTCTCCCTGTTTATAGTTAGAACTAACTCAAGCTGTCTAACAAATATCTAAGTATCTGTGTGGAGTTACACAAAGTATGGGACAGGCAGAAAGGGGAACTGGCGGGAGAGGAAATTCAATGTGCGCTTTCCTCCAAAACCAAACACAAGCCTCCCTTAGATTCCACACCATCGGGAAGGCTGCCAAATCCTCAGTTTCTCACCGCCATGGGCTTCTGTGCTTCCTAATTTGGGCTGAGTCTGAAGGAGCTAGAAGCCACGTGAGAAAACTAGGCTTCTCAATATTTCCAGAACAGTCTGACAGAACGAAAGGTTTGGGTAGGTCACCGGCTTCAGGGAGCTTCTCCAAATAAAGTCAGTCTCGGGAGCTCTGACTGTAGCTGACAGTCGAGCCAGGCCAATGGGAAACTGCAGTCTGACTCCCAGCAAATCCTCCAACTGAAGCACTGTCAGACAAAGGCCGTCTATGCTTTGGCAAAGTCAAAAGCTAGAGAGATGCCTCCGAATCCTGACCAGAGTCTCAGAAAAAACACCTAATATTCCCAAATCGCTGCCCCAGCCAGCAGCTTCCTGCCATTTCCCTTTTTGGAACAGGGTTTTTATTGCCTCGCAAACTAAGTGGCCGTCACATGTGTTAAAGCAAATTCTATATTATAATCTTACTCTCCGGAGTTCTAAAAAGGTTTTTTTTTCCATTTTTTAAGAAAAACACACACGTTTCATACTGCCCAGTGCTTAATCTTGACTTACCAGCTGTAAAAGCTGCATTTCTTCCCTAACTGGAGAGTGTCCATTTATTAAGTTAGAACGGTGGACCTTTCCTTGTAACGGTCGTGGCCGAGGAGCTGGCGGCAGACACAACTTAGCAAGGGCCTTGGTACACCTCGTGTGTCAGCTCCCCTCAGTAAGGTGGAGTTTTTAAGGTGTCTTTTCTACCAGTATGCTGGGGAAGGATTGTTGTTACTCTGTTTTAACACATGGCTACTTTCTTTATACACAATAAACTTAAAAAGAGGACTAAGGATTTATAGTGGAGACCACTACATGCCTTTCATACTTAAAGCAGATCAGTATAAAACAAGTAAACATGGACATGTCACCAAAATACAGCAGCAAAAAGGTTTAGCAATCAAGGTTTCTTTTTGCAAAACACAAGATTAATTTCCTTAGTAGTAGAGGACTTAGAAAAGAAATCAGTTACACCAGCAGGAGACACTTGTACTTGATACTATGACTATTAGTACAGCATTCACATTAAACCACAGTGAACTGCTTTCAAAGCCCAAATGATTGTCAAGCCAATTCTCAAACCACAGATACTTTCTGTTGTTCTTTTTTGTACAAAATGTTAAGACAATAGGCTTTAAAATACAGCCTAAGCACCAATTATGATAAATGCATATTGGTAAAACGTGACTTCTGGCTTTAAAAGACATTATTGACCTCCCTGGGGCTAAAGATTGCACCCATGTGAATAATACACTGCTAAAGAAAAATTCATTTTTTAAGATCTATAGAGGTTCTCCACTAGGCACAATTCATTGCTGAAGTTGGATCATGCAACAGTTTTACAAGAAGAGTAGGAAAACATACATGTACTGAATATAGTGCATATCACTTTATGGAGGACTTTCAGGGTGTAAGATTAAGACAAAAGAGTGCTTTAGAACACTTGCATGGATTTGGTTTTGCCTGTCAAATGGAAGGGAATTCACTGGCATTACATGGAAAATTTTCATTTTAGGGTTAATGTCCCACCACTCTGAAATGAGTCCAGTAAGAGTCGAGGAATTTGGTTTTGTTAGTAAAGGCCTTCTCCCTGCACTCCCCTCCCCAGTATTCAAATTGTGTTTTGTTCAAAAATACTCAAAATGAGCTGATTTCTGGAGTGGTTCACATCATTTTTTACTGCCTGCTTTGTTAAAAATTCTATCTTAAATTGGAAAGGATATTTTTGCTTTTTTTTTTTAAATACCTGAAGAATAATGCATCACACTTATTAAAAAAACAACTGTTCTTTCACCTTATAATTGGTAATAGGGCTACAGTTACCTTTTCGTTAAGATCACCTTTTACTAGTAGACTTTCTTTGCCTATTTAAAACAGAAAGATAACAAAGATTAAATGTTGATTTTGCATCAACAAATGGAAGCGGAGGAGACTAAATGACGGAAGGGCAGATTCAGCAAACCCCAGTACTGAGGGAGTCCCATACTGCTGTTCATGCAGAAAGGAGACACCGCGACTCCCAGTCTGGGGACTAAGCCCAAAGGGCTGTGGCCATCAAGGCCGGGGAATGTCCCAATACCAGAGCAAAAAAATGTCCTGGCAAAGTCCTCCCCAGATGTGAAAGCCTAAGTCTTCGGTCTTCACATCCTTAATCCCCCCAAAGTCTTAAGCTGGCATTCTGAGCCAGGACTCTATTTAGTTCTGGCTCAGAATTCAAGGAAACACGGTCTTCTGTAGGGAAGTTCTTATTTGACTATGCTTCAGGGGAAAAAGCAGCAGCATATGCAAATATATACGTCTGTGTGTGAGCGTGTGGACGTAAAAGGGCAACCAGAGCCCCTTCTTGTTTATAGACTGGAAGTAACAACAGGCCAAACTATCTGCTTAAATAAAACCACTGATACTGAGAATTAAAAGATTATTCTGAGAGTATGTATCTGAGTGAAGAATAAAATAAAAAAAAGAAAATGAAAAGATTAAACAAATAGGTCACAAAAATAATCAGACGGGTGGTAGAGAAAGTTGATCCCAAACAGGAGCCACAGAACCATAAATTTAACATACTTGGAAAAGTAAAGATGACTTTAAAACAAACTGAAGGTAGAGAAATCACAAACCCAAACCCAGCAGCCTGTCTCACTGAGCCTGCAGACAGGGAACTGAGACCATAGCATTGTCGGACCACGCTCCTCGCGAGACTGTGCAACACTCTAGGGTTCCTTCCAGGCTATTGCATCGGCAGCAAAGCAGGACAGGCAGCAGTAGGCATGTGCTTTTTTTAGTTTTTTTTTTCTCTGCAAAGGGACAATTATTCCTGGATAAGGCAAGATAATTGTGGTCACGAGAGAAGCAGCCAAATGCAGATCTGTTGAGCTAACAGGGGAATGTCAGTCAGTCTTTCCCAGCTTTGCGATCAGCTCGTCACAGATTTTTGTCAGTTCTTCGATTTCTTGGTTCTGAAAGACAAATGATATGATTATGCAAGGCCACTCTGTATTCTGAGACAACAGCAACTGTAGCGAAATAGTCCCAACACTGGCTATGTCCCACCTAGACAATCTAATTCAGTGATTTTTAACTTTTCTACATCAAGGATCCTTTATAGAAAGGAAAGCTACCTCCTCCCCTGGAAAATATTCTTTTACTCACCAAATTATGCTTAAATTGAGGACATGGTGAGGATAGTCACAGACCTCAGGAGCTTACCCATGAACCTCTTAGATCCCATATTTTCTTGTTATCATAGGAATTACCTGGGGTACTTGCTAAAAACACCAGTATCTGGGTCTCACTCAACCCACCAGCATCTCCAGGGACCTGAGATTCTGGAGTCTGCATATCCCAGGGAACACTGCTTTAGGGGCTATCAGACCCCATGATAAAAACTGCCGCTCTTGCTGAATGGATGTCACAGGCATGAGTACATAATTGGAGACATTAGTAAGAAACACTGGAGACATATAAAAAAAGAAGACTGCTGAGTAGTGAAAAATAGGGATTATTGCTACCACTGATTTTCATTTATCTATAGCAGTTTTGCAACGTGCAGCACTACTGATGTTTTGGGATGGGTATGTCTTTGTTGGGAAGCGGGTGTCCCGTATGTTGCAGGATGTTTAACAAGACCCCTGGTCTCCCCACTAGATGCTAGTAGCATCTCCCAGTTGTGACAATCAAAGAAATAAATATTCAGATATTGCCTAATGTCTCCTGGAGGGCAAACCTGCCCCCAACTGAGAACCACTGGCTGAAACCAATGAAGGAGGAAGATGGTTTCATATACTGCTTAAAGAACAAAAAGAAAGAAAAGCAGCCTCATGACCCTAATCAAGAAGTGTGGGATGCCCTGGACTTCAGTTACAACGCAACTTCCTCTCTGTACCTGCCAGGGACGATCCCCACACAGTAGGCCTGGATGTTTACTGATTGGACTTGTCTCCACCGAATCAGTTCAGAGGAGCTAGACTGAAGTGTCCGAGTAAAAAGGCAAGGCCTCTTGCATCAGGATCACAAGCTAAGTACACTAAGGACCGAAGCTAGCCTAGTCCCTGCTGAAGAGGAAAAGCAAGCGTCTCTGCGGCCGTCCAGACCAAAGCCCTTTCTGTACCTTCTGCTGAAGGGCCCTTTCCAGGGACTCCACCTTCATCTGCTCTTTCCGGAGTCCAGCGTGGAGAGCTGCACTCTCAGCCTTTGCTTTTGTCCGAACCTGAGCAATCTCTTCATTGGCTCTGTGTGTGGTTGTGTTGGTAGATAAAGAGACAAAAAGCACATGGTTATCATCACAGCTGGAGTCAGGACACTAACCGCTGACACCTGTGAGGCACAGGCCCAAAAGCGCTGACAGCACGATTAAGAGAACATGAATTGGTGACCTAAGTATTAATAATTAAATTTTCATTTATAAAAGTTCAGTTTGCAGACAACTGCCAAGGAAGTCTCCATGGCACGAACCGATGGCAGAATCAATCTCAAGGGTTACAATGGCTTCTAAAAGCCACATTTCACTAAAATGGAATCGCAGAACAGCTCCTAAAACAACCAGATTTTTTTAACCCAGTACAATAATGGGCTGGATCATTTCAGGATTATCACAGTTAAGGTGTCAGGATACTAACCACTGATGTCTGTGAGGCAGACCTAAAAGAAGTGACTTTATTAATGAGATGCAAAGGAAATCTTAAAAACCATAAATACCAGTTGATAAACAGCCAGTTAACTGATGAAAGGACACTAAAACCTCACTGGTAATCAGTGGCATGTAAATTAAAATGATAAACTTTTAAAATTTATCCAATTGGCAGAAATTAACGGAGGTCTTCTTGCCCTGTGTTGGCCAAAATACAAGAAAACAGGCCATATGCCGACAGGAGGGATGAAAACTGGCACTGCCTTTGGGGAGGGCGACGTGATGGAGACTAGGACAATTTAAAATGGACACAGTCTCCGACCAGCAACTCCATTTCAGTTATTGTTTCATAGGAATACACCCACCTGGCACAACAGTGAGTGCATAAGAATGTTCACTGCAAACTGGTTTGCAATGGAAAAAATGTTTGAAACTATCTAAATGCCCATCAATAAAGAAATGCTATAGTCCTATGCCCTAATAAAAACATTTAGATTGAGTTGTGTGTTCTAACATGAAAAAATGGCTATGTTATAATATTAAGGAAATTTATATGACTTCAATATAATATTTTTTTCAAGTAAAAAACAAAATGTTTGGCCGGGCGCTGTGGCTCACGCCTGTAATCCTAGCTCTTGGGAGGCCGAGGCGGGCGGATTGCTCAAGGTCAGGAGTTCAAAACCAGCCTGAGCAAGAGCGAGACCCCGTCTCTACTATAAATAGAAAGAAATTAATTGGCCAACTGATATATATATAAAAAAAAAATTAGCCGGGCATGGTGGCGCATGCCTGTAGTCCCAGCTACCCAGGAGGCTGAGGCAGAAGGATCACTTGAGCCCAGGAGTTTGAGGTTGCTGTGAGCTAGGCTGACGCCACGGCACTCACTCTAGCCTGGGCAACAAAGCGAGACTCTGTCTCAAAAAAAAAAAAAAACAAAAAAAAAAAACAAAAAACAAAAAACAAAAAAAAAACAAAATGTTTGAAACCATCTTGGAGTATTGTAAAGACACAAAGAAAACACCAGAGGGATATACAATAACCTGTGTATAGTGTGTAGAAGGACATACATCACCTCTGTAGAAATATACAATGAACCTAATTACACTATTATGGGAGTGGGAAGGGGAAAGGGGACTTAAGAGTTTTTACAAATAGAAATACAGGCCCAGCATGGTGGCTCATGCCTGTAATCCCAGTGCTCTGGGAGGCCAAGGCGGGAGGATCATTTGAACTCAGGAGTTCAAGACCAGCCTGAACAAGAGTGAGATCCCGTCTCTACTAAAAATAGAAAGAAATTAGCTGGACAACTAAAAATATATAGGAGAAAAAAATTAGCCGGGCATGGTGGCGCATGCCTGTAGTCCCAGCTACTCGGGAGGCTGAGGCAGGAGGATTGCTTGAGCACTCAGGAGTTTGAGGTTGCTGTGAGCTAGGCTGACGCCACGGCACTTTAGCCAGGGCAACAGAGTGAGACTATGTCTCAAAAAACAAAGCAAAACAAATAGAAATATAGGCAGTAAAATGTACAAGTTGTGTATTTTACTTAAACAATAAAATTGGATACCATTCCCTAGGATAAATTCCAAATGTACTGAAATTAAAGATTAATAAAATTAAGCCATAAGGAAAAGCTGGGAGAACATTTTCTATCTAGCATGGGAAGATTCTGTAGAAGAAATGACTAATAAATCTCAGTGCATAAAAATAAATTTCTGCATACTAAAAAACACCATGGGCAGAGCCAAAAGATAAGTGATGAAAACTGGAAAAATTATTCAAAATTCGTATCACAAAGGGCTGGTTTCCCTAATATATAAACCGACAATAGAAAAATGGGCAAAGAATAGTCATTCACAGTAAAGCAAATATATGAATAAATAAATGTTGAAATTTTTTCAATTTCACTCATAAATTCAAATCAACATTTATCAAAATGTCAAATAAAATAATGCTCTGTTGCTTGCCAGAAATAAATAAACAAACAAACAAAAGCCTACACTGAAATACCATTTTTATTTAAGATTTGCAGAAAACCAAAAAGTTGATCTATTGGCAAGGCTGTAGGGAAAAGAGATGCTTTCATACGTTGTGTGGGGGGTCTATATTTATAAAGGTTCGATGAGGCCAATTTGACAATATTTACCATAATTATAAATTCATATATTCTTTGGTCAAGCAATTCCTTTTCTATCACATAGATCATAAAGACAAATCACGTGCATACAAAATGATTACCAAGGTTATTTACTGCAGTGTTGTCTGTGGCAGCAAAAGATTTTAATTGACCTTGGTTAAAGAAACAATAAATTCAAACACTGGAATACCATGTGGCTACTGAAAAAATGAGGAAGATCCTCATGGATTGACATGGAAACATTTTCAAAATTATATTGTTAAGCAAAAGAAGTGAGGCATGCTGTCATATGTATAAAAAAGAAAAGGAAAGAGGAAGGAAAAACAGAGATCAACGACAGTGATTACTTGAGGTGTGGAGAGAGGTAGGAGCCTAGTGAAGGGTGAGGGGTGGGAGAGAGATATCATATGCCTTTTGATACTTTTTTAACGTTGCAACCACGTAAAGATGGTTCAAACAATGAAATAAAACATACGCATACAAATACAACCCAGACTTGCAAACAATGAATTTTTTTTGCCTTTGTCAATCTGCCTACATCATGAAAAGTGAAATGCCAGTGTATAAGCTCATACTTGTCTAGTTTTTCTTCAGCATGGATTTTGAGGGCCTGATACCGCTGTTCCTCTTGTTTAACTCTGGCCAAGTAATCCTGAGCACATTTTTTCAAGGCTTCTTCATTCTGTTCCAAAGTAAAAATTTAAATTAAACAGGTCATTTTGTTTCTTGTACTAGCAATCTACCATGCATCAGAGTTTTCATTTTTTAAAAACTGGGTAAACCAAATTAATTCAGATGCCTTTAATTTACACTATGTGGGAAGCTGAAATAAGCACATGTAATTCTCACTGCAGAAATTCCACATAGTTTCTTCACATATTAATTTTCAATACCTTGCAGTAAGTTCAGTCATATCCATACACCTACTTTAGGAAAGCAGTTATTCAAAAGTAAATGACAGGCCGGGCTCAGTGGCTCAAGCCTGTAATCCTAGCACTCTGGGAGGCCAAGGTGGGAGGACTGCTCAAGGTCAAGAGTTTGAAATCAGGCAGAGTAAGAGCGAGATCCCATCTCTACTATAAATAGAAAGAAATTAATTGATCAACTAAAAATATATATACAAAAAAAAAAAAATTAGCCAGGCATGGTGGCGTATGCCTGTAGTCTTAGCTACTTGGGAGGCTAAGGCAGGAGGATAGCTTGAGCCCAGGAGATTGAGGTTGCTGTGAGCTAGGCTGACAGCCATGGCACTCTAGCCCGGGCAACAGAGTGAGACTCTGTCTCAAAAAAAAAAAAAAAAGTAAATGACATTTTTGACTCCATATTAGACAAACTGGCCAGTCTCATTTTAATTTTAATATGAATATAAAGAAATTTCACTGCTATAAATGTCATATTGATACTGTGCAATTAAACTAAATCAATATGCTTATATTTAAGTTTGAAATATTATACTTAATTTCTTCTAGAATATGCACCTTGAATTTTTCAGCGATATGGAATCCCTTCTACTTCTACTAATACTCGAAAGGAGAACATTTCTAGAATGTTCTAGAAATGAACATTTCTAGAATTCTACATCCTGAGGGTTCTAGCCCTTGCACCCCACATCGCACTCTGGTTGCATCTGGGGTTACTGCCTTGACTCGCTAGAGGAACGACCAAGACATACCACCCAGTAGGCCAGACGCCTGGAAACAGAAAAAATCCAGCTTCCCTGGAATAGAAGACACAGGCTGGCAGGGCCCAGAACTCTGTTTAAAAGCACCCCTACCCCCACCTCTGGCATCTGTGTTTGATGATCCATCACCAAAAAAATACACTACTGGCCAGGAGGTAGAAGGAAACAAACACACTACCTTCTTGAACCCTTCCAGAACGCCTTTCAGGTTCTCGTATCTCCTGAAGAGATCAGAAAGGGACCTTTCCACAGAGTTGAGGTCAGCCAGGGCCTGTTCCTTCTCCATGGTCAGCTGCTGGAAGCTCTTCTGAGAGGTCATATTTGTCCTTTGTTCATCTTCTGGGAATCACAAGTCAGAAGTAATGGCATGTTTATTCAATGAATGGTTAACAGCTGCTCTCCGCGAGCCGAGCAGTGCTGTCCCAGTGGGGACACAGCCCTGGACGGAACAAAGTTCCCACTCTCAAGGACTAACACACTAGGGGGGGAGAAGCATGGTGACAAATGACGGGGAAAAACAAGCCAGGGCAAGAGGGGGGTGCTATTTATGGAGTGGCCTCTCTCAGGGTAGACACTTGAGGAGAGGCGAGAAAGAACGGAGGGTGGGATCCACGCAGCCACCTGGGAGGAGAACGTTACACAGACAGGGAACAGAGTGGCAGAGACTGGGAAGGCCCAGCTGAGGTGGGTGGCAGCAAACAGCACTGCAGGGCTCAAGCGCAGAAAGACCAGACTTCGATTCAGGGAGGCAGTTCTCACAACACAGACTAAAAGAGGCTCTGCACCGAACGCAGGAGGACTAGTCAGCACTGATCTGGTGCGCCGCGAATCTGATGCAGGGAAACTGCAACGTGCGGTAGGGCAAGGCCGTGCACCGGAACAAAGGACCCCTTTTCCCCGAGCGGGCCTGAGCGACATGGCAAGGTGACCGACACGCAGTACTGCATGAGGGCTTGTCACGTGATACAGGTGTCTGCTAGCTCTAAAGTAAACCTAACGACAGTTGGTTCTCATTATTTGCAGTCTGTATTTGCGATTTTGCCTACTTGCTAAAATTTATTTGTAACCCCAAAATCAATACTCGTGGGCTCATGCAGTCATTCGTGGACCTACACAGAGCAGAGAAGATATTTAGTCACCTGACGTGCACATTCTCAGATGAGGTGATGTTCTCCCTTGTTTCATGTTATAACAAGTGTCCTTTTTGTGGTCTATGCAGTGCCACATTTTTTGCATTTTTATTGTTTTGGTCGGTAATCTAACCGTTGATGCCCCTAAGAGTAGTGCTGAAGTGCTGTCCAGTGTTCCTAAGCACAAGAAGGCTCCATAATGTGTCTTAAAATACATGTGTTAGAAGGCTTTGTTCAGACATGACTTAGAGTGCTGCTGACTGTTAATGAATCAAAAATATGCACCAATTAAGGTGTTTCTAAACAGAAACACACATAGGACAAGGTTATATACTGATCAACCTGATGAAGATGTTGTGACCAGAGGCTCACGACATAACCCTGTACTTCCCCCAGGAGAAATGGTTCAGTATTTGCTAATTCAGTGTTTGTAGCAACTTCAGAGAACATACCATGGATAATGAGACTTGACTATATCTAAGTGACAAACTGAATTTTGTATTTTGATTTGAAAATCACCCACAGATCTCCCTATGTTCTGAATGTTTATGTTCCTCCCCCCAAATTTCTATGTTGACACCTAATCCTCATGTACTAGTGTTAAGGGGGGGGGACTTTGGGGAGGTGATTAAGTCATGAGGGCTCTGCTACCTTTTATAAGGATTAGCACCCTTATAAAAGGGACCCCAAGAGCTAGCTACCCCTTCTAAGAGGAATGGGCCCTCCCCAGACACGAAACCTGCTAGTGCCTTGATCTGGAACTTCCCAGCCTCCAGAACTGTGAGAAATAAACGTTTATTGTTTATAAGCCACCCAGTTTATAGCATTTTCTTATAGCAGCCCACACAGACTAAGACAGATTCTACAGTTCATATCCTAGAAACTTTTCTCCTTACCAATCATTTGAGCAATAGTCTTTTCATATTCAGCTACAATTTTCCTAAATAAGAAAAAAAAGAATTTATTAGAAGAGAATTTTTAGACAATTGAAGTTAGAGAAATGCTGCCCCAAACAATTAAACACATTGACATATACTGACAAATTTATATAACCCATTTATCTGCTTTGGAGGTGCTCTCTCTCTCTTTTCACATCATATACGGTTTATTAAAGTTCAAAAAGGTTTTTCTTAAGATTTTATGTTTAATAAGTCTTTTACTCTATTTATAGAAACTGCTTCCACTTTCTCCTTGCACCTATTTGTTTGATTATCTCGACAGCTTAATTCCACTTAGACTAATCAATTGTTAACAAATTAAGTTAAAGACATTATTTCAGGCTCTTCCTAAGAGATCTGATCTGACTTCAGGCTTTCCTGGCCCCAGTCCACCTTTCGGGTTCTCTGTCCCCTCTGATTCAGTAATGTTTTATTTTATATCCTAATTCTAAGTCTTTCACTTATTCAATGACTTTAAAGATCACCCTCATGTTAACCTTTCTCCTAGTGAAGCACAACAACGCCCTTCTGATCTTGTCCAGTGCTGGGCGCTTCCTGGTGGCCCTGCAGTGAGACGTGTCACCCCCTCGCCCAGCCCTCGCTGCTGGTGCCCACCCCTGCCATGCAGCATCCAGCCACTTACGAGGGATGGCTACCGTAAGCTAAGGGCCGGGGATGTCCCTTCCTCTCCAAGCCCAGCACAGGCCTTATGCACAGGAAATGTGTAAAAACTAAATAATACAAGAGCCAAAATTTAGAGTAGACATATTTAAAATGTGTCTTAATCATTCAAGTGCTGACTATAAAGTGTGTGAGCTCTCTAAGCTCTTTTTCCTTCTCTTCTTCGATGCCATCTTTTGTCACTGCACAGCTCATAACTCTAGGGAGTGAGCAGGAAAAATAAAAAGATTTCCATTTAAAGTCCATCAGTTTTGTTTCTTGTTAACAAGCTTTTTATTATATAATCTATTTGGTGGTTATATCATTTGAAGCTACCAAATATAATTAATTTTTTAAAAGTATTATGGATTTCAATGCCTCTATCATTGAACACATCAATAAATCTTATTATTTTGTATTCCAAATGGATATTTTTGTATAAATTTCTGCCAATTCTTTTAAGAAGACCAGAATTATGTGGTTTCTGCTTATATGCAATGTTCTGAACAACCCAAGATAAACTACACTATTTTATTATAATAATGGATGGGTAAATAACTCATGAAATGATATTCTCAATCATAAAGTAAGGTGTAAACAGCAAAACCCTCAGGGTCAACAGCTGGTTCTGTGGTAAGCAAACATTTTCATCACATTGTCTGCATTAAATAAGACAATGCATAAAAGTATCCAACCCCTCCCCCAAACTTCCGTTCTAACCTCATCTCCAAGACTTCTTGTCGGGTCTCTTCATACTTTTTCTTCCATTCATTTGCTTCAATCTCTTTAGTGATGATCTAGAGTATAATACAGCTTGGTTTTACCTAATCGATCCATTATAGTTTGAATTTAAGATTGAGACAGAAATCAGCACACCACCGGGTCTAAGGCTGACAGTCTACATTAGGAGTACAAAACCTCAACGCTGTTCTCATTCACAAGATTCTGGTGGCCTCCTTACCATTGCTCCAAGTTCTGACGACAGGACTAGCTGACATCCAACCTGATGCTATTTCATAAAGCTTTGAAAGCCCTAGAGTCGAGTGCTTAATCACTCTCACCATATTGTAAAAGTAAAATTGCCACCCCGTCTAAAAAAAAAAGGTGGAATCATTAAGAAACACACAAACACATAAAATACAGCACAGAAATATGACAGAAGAGGGAGGTAACACAATAGTACACAGTCATGCTAGCACATAACAATGCCTTTCATAGTTTTCAGATCACTCAGGAATGGCTAAGGAGTGATATATTTTGAACAGAGGCTGTTTAAAAGATTCACAATACAGGAATTTGAGAGTTGAACTGTTTAACCCTTTGCACTTGGATGTCAAGTGTGACGACATGGTCAGCAAAAATTGGAGAGATTAAAATTACTCTTTGAGAAACCAGCCTGAGCAAGAGCAAGACCCCATCTCTGCTATAAATAGAAAGAAATTAATTGGCCAACTAATATATATAGAAAAAGAAATTAGCCGGGCATGGTGGCGCATGCCTGTAGTCCCAGCTACTCGGGAGGCTGAGGCAGTAGGATTGCTTGAGCCCAGGAGTTTGAGGTTACTGTGAGCTAGGCTGACGCCAGGGCACTCACTCTAGCCTGGGCAACAAAGTGAGACTCTGTCTCAAAAAAAAAAAAAATTACTCTTTGAATGTATCAATAATTTGAAATATAAAAAAACCCAAATAAATAAGTTTATATGAAAAGAAACTCCAGTTTTTTATTCTACTGCCGCACTTTGTAAAATCTGGGGTATTTAAAAAATTAAATCCCGAGTAGAATAAAGGAATCGAGTAAAAAGCTAGCGAATGCAAAGGGTTAATTAAAGAATAGATAAAAGGAGGAAATGACTTCATATCACTGCAAAGAATTTAAGGAATTTGGGGACATAAGCATATATTCTCTATAAATAAAATAAAAGCACATGTCAAGGCTGAAAGATAAAGAAGGTACAAATATTCTTAAGAGTATTTTAGATTGTCAACTCTCTTCCCCGGACACGAGAGTCAGGGCTCCGGCATGGAGGCTGGGCTTCATAGGGAGCCCTTTGTAAGAGAGCGGAGGAGACTCGCATGCCTGGCCTGGCCGACAGGGCCCACAGAGATGGGATCTGCCTGCTGGCACGCGGGCCTCACAAAGAAACGTGCTGATAAGCAGACCGACAAGGACCTTTACCTCCTCTCTGATCAAGGTGAGCACAGCCGTCTTATCGGACTCGCTGAGGCAGATCCCGCCCAGGGGGCTCTCCCCGCCACACGACACCGACACCGACACCGGAGACACCGGAGACACGGGAGCGGGAGCCTTCTCCGAGGTGGTGGCGGACTCCAGCTGTCCCTGTGGGGAAAGGGTCACATTTAGTACACCAGCCCCAAACTCCTTTCACTACCTTCGTCAGTACTAAATTGATCACACCCTTTAAAAATATTTTTGAAGGAAAAAAAAAATAGCAGGGGGGAAGCTTTAGAGAAAAACCACATCTAATTACAGCACTACACAGAGAAAACTATTAGAATGAGTTTCAGGGGGGTCCTAACTTCTATTGAACAGATAACCTGGAGACGTTTTCTTCGAATCCAAACAGGAGAAAGTTCCCTTATCACAGTGGTCAGTCACCAAAGAATCACATGCATAAAATATAAAAACATCCACGGTTAATGTCTCATTTTCTGGGAGTTTCTAGGGGTGATGTCTTTCATGTAAATGGAACTTTAAAAAAAAAAAAGCAGCAGCTGTCCCTTTTACATATGGATGCTTTGTATGTATCTTTATTTAGCTGCTTTGGGTGGAAACGTCTCTAAAATGTATTAATAGCTTTTAGGCCTTAAGAGGCAGAAACGGCAAAGATACCTGAACTCTGACCCCAGCCTTGCCCCAGATGATTCGGATCACTGTGAACTTGACTGCTCTGCAGCGACGTCCTGCTGCCACCAGGTGTACGCCAGGCCAGCGTTTGCCCGCACGCAAACGGCCAGCGGCACAAGGCCTGGGCCTGGTTTGTTTGTGGTCCTTCCTTGCTAGTAAGTTTCCCGCTCCCCTGGCAGCACTTAGTCTTCTGATGTGCCGGCTCACTTCTGTCCTAAACTCGGCTTCCAGAGGGCCGTCTGGCAAGCATTTTGTTTTGCACGAGAACGTGGACTCTGTACTATTTTCCTTTCTAAAAGGCATTTTTGGTGGCTATTTCCTCCCATGTCTGAGAAGTAAACTTTTTGCATAGATACGTGATCTAGTTGTTTGGGAACATTCAAAATGCCAACAACAGTGTCCTGGGAATAAACTTAATAATCTTAAATATGGGCATAACTGATCAATTAATTATTGATTATAATCAATCAGTTCTCTGGTATCTTGCTTGACCAGTCCAAAGTCAACCGAACAATGGCTTTTAAACTTTTCAGGGTCATTAAAGCCTCACCCTCTCTCTAGAAAGTGCTCAGAAACATACATATCATTTTAGCACAGACCTTAGCCATGGGCCTAATATAGAAACCCATCTTAGGCCACGGCAAAGGGACACACAAAAGCCACAAGCTGGCAGTGCCCAAGTTCCAGTAGCATTTGGGAGAGGGCAGCCCACTGCGCTGACAGAAGTCCAAGGTCCCCCCCCCCCAACCTCCACCTTGGGACAGATCACTGGAACCAGAAGGCTCTCGTGGCGGGCAGCCTTTACAACAGATCCCACTACCCCTATGTCCAGTCCCTCTTGTGTAATCTCCTCCCTTTGGGTGTGGGCTGGACCTAGCGGCTCTCTAGAATGTGGCCTGAGTCACAGGATGTCACTTCTGAGATGAGTTACTCAAAGACTCAGCTTCCATGTTTGAGAAGCTGTGTGGAAAGGCCCACGTGCAAGGAACGGATGTCTCTGCCAGCAGCCAGTGAGGACCCAAGGCCGCAACAACCTTGCGAGTCTGGCACTGCATCCACCCTGAGTCAGACCTGGAGACGACTGCAGCCCTGGTCAATACCCTGACTGCAGCCTGGGAGAGACGCTGAGTCAGAGGCACCCGGCAAGGTCCCAGTGTTCCTGACCCTCAGAAACAATGAGATGACAGAGTTGTTCTCTGGGTTTTAGAGTAGTTTGTTACATAGCAATAGATAGCTGACGTACGCCTGGACATTCGAATCATCTCATTAACTTCCTGAGCCTTGTTTCTTACCAAGACACTGGAACTGGCCTAAAGGCAAATGATACAGTAGGTCAAGACGACACATTTATTCACCCTGTCGTTACGTTTCTGACGCTAAAAAAAAATTAACACATTTCACAGTCTTTTGTGAGTTGTTTTAAGCCAGAGTCCCTGAGTTGAGTCAACTCTAGGAAACGGCCTCTCAGTGCTTCCCATGGCTGTTGTGTGAGTGAGAATTTGGGAAATTAGGCCCCCAACAATCTTCTTAGTAAGGAAAAGATCAATGTCTGTTATAAGGTTTAGCATTCACTCATTTGTTGAGTGGATAAATGAACTCAGTCCACCTGCTCGTTTAACAGCTTGACACTAACAGAGGTGGCGTCCAGAAGAGGCCAGCTCTGAGCTGCAGGTGGGGACCAGGCCGTGCACAGTGCTGGACGCATCCAGGCGAGTGGGCTCTTCGGTGTGCTGGCTCCCCGCTGTCACTCCCCCTGCCTGGCACATGCCACAAGCCCCACCACTCATAACACAACAGCTCCTATGAGGTGTAAGGGCAGGAAGTTGTGCCAAAGCCTATTTTAGCCACCTTTTCCTGTTTCCTGGGACTTAACTTTTCTATGTTCCTTAGTCCTCATACTGCTTATCAAACAGTGTAGAAAGTCTGCAGACTCTACCATCACAAAGAATCGGCCAGATGATCTCTCTAAGGGCTGGGAAATCTTTAATAAAGATGCTAAGTCCATCAATAATGTCCTTCCAAATGGGTCCCGTTTTGTGTCCCCTGGTCCTTCTCTCAGTTCCTCAAAACATTCACAATCGAGAACCAAGAAAGACTATAGACAACAGACATCAATGGATTCCTGGGTGCAAATTTACAATGAACGCAGACACTACAAAGTAATTCCCCTTGCTCCTGTCCTTGCAGCGGGAGAATGAGCATCACCTCATCACCTCACAATCTATCTGTGCCGAGTGTGGTTGTCCTGTCACTAGTCCTTGAACCCACTGGAACAGCACCAGCCCCAGCCACTCTAACAGGCTCGCTTGAAAAGCCAAATGAACTCAACTTTCAAGAAGTGTGAGATATCTTAAAAACATAATAAGCAGACTCCTAAGTGAAAAACATTGCAGACCAACAGCTGAAAAGCAAGATGAGACTTAATCTCCATCCCTGACTATTCTAACCATGGTCATTTTGTCCCAGCCCCACCCACCGCTGGGCATGAGACTACAGCAGGCATGCACTTCAGAGCTCACAGAGAGGCTTAAAGTAAATGCCAGATTAAACAGGTTTCTTTATTCAACATTTTGCATGTTGAAATTTCTTTTTCTTTTTCTTTTTTTTTTTTTTTTGAGACAGAGTCTCACTTTGTTGCCCAGGCTAGAGTGAGTGCCATGGTGTCAGCCTAGCTCACAGCAACCTCAGACTCCTGGGCTCAAGCGATCCTCCTGCCTCAGCCTCCCGAGTAGCTGGGACTACAGGCATGCGCCACCATGCCTGCCTAATTTTTTTGTACATATATTTTAAGTTGGCCAATTAATTTATTTCTATTTATAGTAGAGACGGGGTCTTGCTCTTGCTCAGGCTGGTTTCGAACTCCTGACCTCGAGCAATCCGCCTGCCTCGGCCTCCCAGAGTGCTAGGATTACAGGCGTGAGCCACCATGCCTAGCCTGAAATTTCTTTATACAGTTATTCAATGTTCTAAGGAAGCAGGATTAATCTATCAGGAAGTTCAAATTAGGGTTACTTTTAAAAGATCACAGTATGCGATATGTTCCTTACCAGCTGACTCTAGGGACAAGTATCCTCCATTTGTTTTCACTTTCTTTCCCACCCATTTCCTATCAACACCCTGATAGCAGCCTAGTACTTTACAGCATGAATCTTTCATGTTATCATTTCATTCTATCCTCACAACCACTCTGATGAGGCAGATGGGTACTGCTCATTTTATGGATGAATTAAGTTGTGAATCAGGAACTTGAAACAGTTTGTTTTAAGAACCAAGTAAACCATCTGAATCTGTAGCCATGTAGATCAATGTTCTGTCTACTCAAAACACCCTTCTTAGGCTGGGCACGGTGGCTCACGCCTGTAATCCTAGCACTCTGGGAGGCCGAGGCGGGAGGATTGTTTGAGCTCAGGAGTTCGAGACCAGCCTGAGCAAGAGAGAGACCCAGTCTCTACCAAAAATAGAAAAAATTAGCCGGGCATGGTGGCGCATGCCTCTAGTCCCAGCTACTCGGGGGGCTGAGGCAGAAGGATCGCTTGAGCCCAGGAGTTTGAGGTTGCTGTGAGCTAGGCTGATGCCACGGCACTCTAGCCAGGGCAACAGAGTAAGACTGTCTCAAAAAACAAAAAAAACCAACACCCTTCTTCAATCATCCTGTGCTATTTTTACACACTGAAAATACTAGGAAGTACTCCTATAGTACCCAGAAAACTTCAAAAGAACTGGTTTCACAAAGCACACAACCAGGCTGTTTTGGTGTGGAATGTGGAGTTTCATCCTCTCGTGACAGCTGCGCTGGGATTAGATGACCTGACTTCCAAGAAGCTGAGATCCATTGAGTTTCTAGGCAAAAGTGATTCTGCCTGGAAACAAGTGTCACTGCTGTGTGAGGCCCTGAGGGGCAACGCTCTTGGTTCCCTACGTGGATGGGTGTGTTCTTCCTTTTGATGCCTTCCTCAGGCTGCCACCGGCTCCTTCCCGACCCAGCCCAAGAGGTTAGACCTCAACCTTCACATTGTGCCCACTCTCTATTCTCTAGAGAAATACTGTGGGTCATGGCCCAATAGTGAATCATGAAAACTATTTGGTGGCATAAGCAACCTGCATTAAAAAAATGAAACAGGCCGGGCGCGGTGGCTCACGCCTGTAATCCTAGCACTTTGGGAGGCCGAGGCGGGCGGATTGCTCAAGGTCAGGAGTTCGAAACCAGCCTGAGCGAGACCCCGTCTCTACCAAAAATAGAAAGAAATTAATTGACCAACTAAAAATATATATACAAAAAATTAGCCAGGCATGGTGGCGCGTGCCTGTGGTCCCAGCTACTCGGGAGGCTGAGGCAGTAGGATCGCTGAGCCCCGGAGATTGAGGTTGCTGTGAGCTAGGCTGACGCCACGGCACTCACTCTAGCCTGGGCAACAAAGTGAGACTCTGTCTCAAAAAAAAAAAAAAAAAAAAAAGAAACAATAGGAAATATGAGAGTGAATCACACGAAAAAAGGTAAATACCTGTTTTGTGCAATTCATTCTGTAAATATACAAGTACGTATGTTGTGACCTGTCATAGTGTGAGCTCCAGAAAAGTCTGGGATGGCTTTAATAGACTTGGGGACACAGGTGATAGTGGATCCTATGGGAGCCGGTTGTGATTGAAACACTTTACCTTGATCCACAGCAAAAACACATTTCATGTCTTGACCAATATATACAAGGCACCAGAAAAAGGACATCAGTGGGATAAATGATAAAATTTGAATAAGGTTAATATATTAAATAATAGGACTATATCACTGTTAAGTGTATTAGTGATTTGGATAACTGTCCTGTGACCATATAAAATGTTAATATTTGAGGAATATGGGTCAAAGATGTAAAAGAATTCTTTGTCCTATTTTTACAAATCTAAAACTAGTTGAAAATGAAATATTAATAAAAAATGTTTTGAATTAGCTCAGAATTGGCCTTCCCTAGTTCCCACAGCCCCTGAAACACATTCTACTACAACATTCACCACAAGGTATTATTGGTTTGCATTTTGTATTTACTATCAGTAGTTGTTCAACAGAAATATATTGGAAGCCATATATAATTGTAAATATTTCAGTAGCAATAAAAAAGTAAAATGAAAGAGGTAAAATTAATTTTGATAATAGTTTAGTTAACCCAATATATCCAAAATATTACCATATCAACATGTAGTCAATATAAAAAGTTACTGAGACATTTTATAGTCCTTTGTTATTTTTGGACTAAGTCTTCAAAAACTGGCTGTATGTGACATGTAAAGGACGCCTCAATTCAGACCAGCCACAGCTCAAGTGCTGAACAGCCACACGTGGCCAGTGTCTCCCATACAGAGCGCCGTGTAGACTCAGCTCCGCAAGTGAAGAAACTGTTTTATTTGTATTTTATCCCCATCACCTCACACTGACTAGAATTTATTTAATGAATTAACGTGGGATTCAAAACAAACGTGAGCTCCACACCACCCTCCGCATCCAGGACTCACGAGCACGGCAGCTCCGTCTTCCTCCGTCTTCTGGCTCGTCTCCATACCTAAAACACAGAAAGTCATTTTTACAGTTACCCTAAGAAGCTGGCTCCTTTCTTCTCTAGGGAAAGACTCTTGGAAACCCTGGCACAGGCTCAGAATGACTACGGACATACGAACAGCATTTTAGGATCTTAAAAGTTGTGCTGGCATTCTGCTGAGCACCGCACAGCTCCGTGTTAAAAGTCCGTAATACTCAGAAGAAAGAACAGTGTCCGGTTAGTCAGCCATGAACAGACTGTCACTCTTCCACAGCGAGGCTGCCCCCGTCTGTCCACAAAAAGTTTGGCAAAGGGGTTGTACTAACCATGGGGTTGTATCACGAGGAGGAAACCATCACACTGAATGCTATTTTATTATCGAGTCTGAGTGAATGTTAATTCCAGCCTGAAGGGTGCCCTCAATCTAATTACTATAGGAGACAGGATAATAAGCTTTACATTTCAAGCCTGCAAAACTACATGCATGATCCTCTCTACACCCTCCAAACCGGTCTCCTTGTCTCGGATCTATTTTCCACTCTACTAGGGTAGAAGGTAACATTTAAAATAACCAGAATATGCACTCAATAAGGAAAATGTAAAAATACAGAAAAACATACAAAACTTTAAAAGCTTCAATCCTCCATGTAGCAATAACTAATTACTACTTTAGTCAATAGCTAATTATTTAAAACATAAATGCGACCATCTCTCCCCTGCTCAAAAACTTTCAAAACCTTCCCCCTCTGCCACACCGACAGGATCAAGCCCAAATTCCTCAGTACGACCTTGCTTCCCACGTGCCCTATACTCACAGAAGGCTACTGGGCATGTTACTAACACGGCAGGCTCCTTCCCATTGCTGGGTGAGATCCTCCCTTCCTGGAGAACACCTACGTGTGTATCCATCAAGACCCAGCTCCAAGGTGACTCTCCCCAGGAAACGGTCTCTGATTCACTGAACAGAGCCAGTCAGGACCAGTTGCCGCCTGCACACCCCTGGGACCACAGCCTCTGCTCATTCTTGCAGTGCAGCTGGTAGGCTACAGTGTAACCGCTTGCTTCAATCTGTTCCGCTTTTTACTTTGAGGATAGCACTGTATCTAATTGAGCCCCGGCTCTCTACTACCCGGCTCTCTACATAAATTTCTGTTGAGGGAATTTCTTCCAGTGAGGAAGAATATTAATTCAACAAATATTTATCATGTTCTTGTATCAGAGCCAATTCAAAGATGAACCTCTCTTAGTCTCTAACCTCAAGCAGCTTATTATAATCGTTATCTTTCTATAACCAACATGCTGCGCTGGGGGCTGTACAACAGGAAGGCTAAGGTGAAATGCGGCGGGGCTTAAAGCTCGCTTCGCAGGCCTGAAAGGACAGGCGGGATTTGCATTGGGCGTGGCAAAGAGATTTCAAATGGGAGAAATGAGTGCAGGTCTGAGTATCAGGATTGACCCGAGTAAGTGGGTAATAGGGCATCAAGTAGAATAGTCAACAAGGCCTTTGGGAAAGATGTCAGCACCAAGTTGCCTTGGAAGAATCAGGAACAATGCCTGGCACATTTATTTTACATCTGGAAGACTGAGACCTGGGGTGGGGGAGGAGGTGGAGGAGTGCAGAAAATAATTTGCTCAAAGTCCTGGCTTTCTACCTCCTTCCCTGGTTTGATTTCAGATCGTGACTTTTAAAATTTTAGACATAAAAATCCCACAAACTAAATTATGTGGCTTAAGAAGATCTAAGTTTTTAGTAACGTTCAATGTAGTCAGGAACAAAGTTCTCAACTTATTCATAAGTAACGTTTAAGGCCACAGGTGTAACTTGGGACTCAGAAGAAGGCCTTAGCTCTAGAATAATCTGAAGAGTCCTAAAGTAAGAGGCTTCAGGCCAGGCTAGTCCAGGTTCTCCATTAGAACGTTAAGAAGGATTTTACGGTGCACTGGTCAACTTCAACCTACCACCTCCATGACAGGAAAATCTGTAGCAGCCTAGTGTAATGAAAATAATCTCTTCACACTTTGGCACTGTGGTTAAAAGGCCATGGAACCAGACCTGTTTAGATTCAAACCCAGTTCTATCACTTACTAGTGATGGGGTTCAGAACACACTACCCCAAAATATGGCGTCTTGACATTTGAAGAAACAGCAGAAGAAGGAAGGTCTATTTGCTCTTTTCCTGACCTCCCCGCTAGAGCTAGAGCAGGCCATAAAGGAATCCTCTGACCTTCCTCTGAAAATAGGTAATAAGACCTTCATTCCAGAGGGCTCCTTCCTCCCTATAGGCAGAGGAAAAGAATGTCCTTATCCTGTCTGGGCACAGTGGCTCATGCCTGTAATCCTGGCTCTGGGAGGCCAAGGTGGGAGGATTGGCTGAGCACCGGAGTTGGAGACCAGCCTAGGCAAGAGTGAAACTCCATCTCTACTAAAAATAGAAAAACTAGTCGAGCATCATAGTGTGTGCCTGTAATCCCAGCTACTTGGGAGGCTGAGGAAGGAGGATTCCTTGAGCCCATGAGTTTGAAGTTGCTGTGAGCTACAATGATGCCATTGTACTCTACCCATCGACAAAGTGACTCTGTCTCACAAAAAAAAAAAAAAAAAAGGAATGTCCTTATCTTGGAAGACAAAGAGACCAAACAGTAATCTGAACAGATAGGCCTTGCTAAACTCCCCCCAGTTCATTACCATTAGATCATACCCTTCTGTCCTCCAACTACACTTCTACACAACTGTCTCTTGGGGTCTTCATTTCCGAAGGTTCTCATGTCACATAGAACACATTAAATAAATCTGCATGATTTTCTCTTGTAGATCTGTCTTTGGTTATAGAGGTCTCAGCCAGTAAGCTTGCAATGGGTGAGGAAAACGATATCCCTCTCTTCTACCAGCCCAGTGGCCTTGATCATGCTACTTAACTTCTGTGCCTCACTTTGCTTCTCTGAAGAATGCAGAAAAGAGGACCCAGTGAGGACCAGTGAGTTAATAGATGCAAAACACTCAGAACAAAGACCTGCACAAAGTAAGGCACTATACATGCTAGTTATTATTATTATTTCTGTAAGTTAAACAAGTGTAATAATTATCACAAAAAAGTCAAATGTGTGACATATTTATAGGCCCCTATACTTTAAGATATGGCCCTATTAATATAAATTGATAAAGAAACACAAGTAGTTGCTCACATCCGTGTCTCCTGTACATCCTGCCACACTTATCCCAATGTCCCTGGTACTTTTTGCATCTCTTTTCTAGGTAAAGAAGCAAAGCGTAGATGAGCACCCTAAATCCATCCTGCAAGTGACCCAATTCTGTAATCTCTCTAAGGCGCCTGCTGCTGTATTAGGCTTTCAGGCATTTCCACGCTTATGTACATTAGAAGGATGAAGATGTGCTTCCATACCTGCTTCTGAGGATGAAAACGCATGACTTATGGCAGACACGGGAACATTGGAACATTCAAAGTACTCCAGGTCTTCCTCTGGCTCACCTTTCACCTCGGCCCCAGCCGGTTTCTGACCACATGACGTGGACGCCAGTTTCTCCTCGTCAGTAGCATGGCCGTCCCTATTAGAAATGTCTGAAATCTGGGAGATCACTGCTCCTTCATCCTGGGAAATGCAACAAAGATGCTGCCTTTAGGAAGGCGAACCATGGGGGAAAGTGACATGTCAGGAAGGGAGCAGAGCGGTCACAGTCCTGTACCGATATAGTTACCCACAGATCTGGTTATGAAGCGAGGATGAAGCTGGAGTCTTTCAACCATGAGGTGCTGTGTTTTGTAGAGCCTAACTTCTGTGATTTGGGTCTGAGGTTTTAAAAAATGAGTTTTTCTAGCCTAAATTTATAAGCAGGCAGTTTAAATGGTACAAGACTGCGATTTTCAAATTTATTTGCTCATATATCTCCCAATTTTTTTTGAAAAATCCATGTACCCTGTTGTATTTTCAAATGACATCTAAGAACTTTTCGGTATAAGTTTAAATAATCACAAAGGATGTAATATCTGGCATATCCTAAATATTGAACTTGCTTAATGCAATTTAGTTACTCCAGTGATTTGATACACTGTGATCCATTTTAAAACTACGTGGGCTGAGCATGGTGGCTCATGGCTGTAATCCCACCCCTTTGGGAGGCCAAGGTGGGAGAATCACTTGAGGCCAGGAGTTCAAGACCACCCTGGGCAACAAAGAGAGATCCTATCTCTACAAAAACAACAACAACAACAACAAAACACATTAGCCAGGAGTGGTGGTGCATGCCTGTAGTCCCAGCTACTCAGGAGGCTGAGCTGGGAGGATCACTTGAACCCAGGAGTAGGAGGTTGCGGTGAGCTGTGATTGTGCCACTGCACTTCAGCCTGGGCAACAGAATGAGATCTTGTCTCAAAAAATAAACAAATAAGTGTTACAGCTCTTTTAGAATTTGTCTAGCAGGTCTTCCGGTCCTCACCGGAAGGCCCCCCACACAAAAAAAAAAAAAAAAAAAAAAAAAAAAAAAAAAAAAAAAAATAAACAAATAAAATAAAACCACACAAACAAGTTCTTTAATAGTCAGAAGTTTACATTATTCCTTTTTCTGTCTGAATTCGTATTTCTACTCCACTTCCATCAATAAATTAATCCAATCAAATATCTTTGTATGGCTGAAAGTCATTTTTTTTTTTTTTTGAGACAGGGTCTCACTGTTGCCTGGGCTAGAAAGCTGTGGCCATTATCATAGCTCACAGCAAACTCAAATTCCTGGGCTCAAATAATCCTCCTCCTGCCTCAGCCTCCCAAGTACCTGTGACTACAGGCATACACTACTACATCCGGCTAATATTTCTATTTTTTATAGAGACAGGGTCTCACTGTGTTGCCCAGTCTGGTCTGGAACTTCTGGTCTCAAGTGATCCTCCCATCTCAGCCTCCCAAAGTGCTGGGATTGCAAGAGTGAGCCACTGCGCCCAGCCTGAAAGTCTTTTGAAGGTCTTTCTATCCTATTCTCTGTTAAAAAATTTAAAAAAAAAATTTTTTTCTTTGACCATAAGTCTCAAGGTGTTAAAATTTTTCTTCTGGAGAGTTATTACATTTACTATTGCACAATTTATTTTCAAAATGTTACAAGTTTTTAGGTGGGCATGGTGGCATGTGCCTATCTCTTTTGAACCTCTTTTTAAGTAATATGCCAAAAAGTTCTATCATCAAAAATTATTTTTAATGACCTATCAGCCAATAACTCAGATCCTCCTATTTTGTTGAAAGCAATAAAAACTATCCGACTTTTAAAAAATGTATTCTCCAGGAAGCATGTGTGCCTGGCTTTCAGCCAGGGCTCTGCTTCCCAACCCCCCCAACCCTCCCAACCACCCATCCCCGCCAAAAAAAGCATTCTCCAGTTATTAGTGTCAATTACCTTCTCAGAACCCTTTGTTTGGTGCCACAGAGGTTTTCACACCCTGCAGTGATGCATCTTTGTAAGATTTAGAGTAGAAATTTTACAAAAAGAAAAGTGAAGAAAGGATCATTGTGAAAGGGCTCCCTTGTCTTCAGGGGCCTTCTTGGATGGTTTTAGGACATTAAGATACAAACATCCATTGGAAAGTCTAGAACCACCCTCTAGAGGGATGCAAACTCCAACTGGGGGACCACTGGTCTACGTGACATTCTGGTGACAGGCACAGACTTACCTGAGAACATGTATCCAAAGCAAGAGATGGAGTTTCATATTTCTTCACCTTACAGCCACTCCTGTAAAGAGGAAAAAAAAAAAAATACAAGCCAGTTTGGAATCACATCGACCACTTTCAAGGTATGAGATGGAGCAGACAGCAGTGTGTGCAGATAGAAGCCAAAGCATACAGCACGACACAAATCATACATCTACACGTCAGGGAGGCAGAGACACCTTTTATGCCTCTGAATCATCTCTCAAGAGATGGGTAAGCAAAGAACTACAGCTGGGCTCATTCTCGGAAAAGACCACCTTGCTTGCTTCTATGGGTAGTCAAACACCAGTATGCTAACGTCCACGTTTTTTTAATTACACACCATCAAAAGCCGTTCAGACACCATAACCTTAGCAGCTAGTCACATTCAGTTCTTCTGATCCTTGCTCAATTGGTTTTGATGTTCATTAGAAAAATCATCACGCTGGACCATTCTTTAAAAATTCTTTATTGCACTGAAAGCCACAGAAGTTGCATAAGACAGCTCCAGTCTAGACCTGTGTGCTAACAGAAAGAACTGTGGTCAACAGAAAGTATAAAAGTACAAGTATCTGAGTAAATCATTACCATTCCTATTAGATAGTAGATGAAAGGTGAACACCACGTACTGTGCAAAACCTAAAACTGGGCAAGCTTCGACCACCTGTTAGTTTTAGACTAGCACATAATTTGTGGTCATAGGACTAATTCGGATTCTGTTCTGTCTTAATAAACTTGAAATTTCCAGCAAAAATGCCACTTTGACCAAAAAAAGGGAAAAAATTACTTGCAAAATTTTTTCTTTTGTGAAAAAAAAAATTAAAAGGCAAGCACATAAGTCACCAGAATGTGCATATGATCACCAGTTCATGCTCCCCTTTCCCTAATGCTCTTGCATAATGCCATCCTCTGCCACCAAGCTTGAATTGACTCAGTATTATTTATCACCTATTCCAAGTCACCAGTCTTATCCTATCAAAAAAGTTAATGATATCCAGTATTAAATAGCAGAGCAGTCCCTCAAACCACTGCTGTGTGATGATGTCGGGGCCAAGCCAGCTCTTGGTACTGTCAAAGCGCTACATGACACCCGCCAAGCCAGGGAGCGAGAGCTCTTGCACCTAAGGCGGGAAGGTGGAGCCCCACTCCTTCAGGTGCAGGCAATTGCAAGGCTAAGCTGACTCATGAAGTGGCAGATGAGATGCAAAAAATCATCAGAAAATTAAACTCAGAAATAGAAGCCAACATGCTATGGAGAGATGGCTGGGAGAGGAAACTGCCAGCAGTCCCAGGGACAAACAGAAACAGCAGGAGTACTTACAACAGAAAACAGAGAAATTTCACTTGTTCAGTAGTCCTGATGCACCAACAAAATTAGAGACAGGAAAGAGACAGACAGATGGAGAAAAAAATCATGTAAAGACTGGTTTATTTATCTCTAGTCTGGTAGATGCAAAAGCTGCACAGTTCTCTCTATGAGGTGAGATACAAACTAAAAATGTCATATTTATGAATGTTATCACTGGTGAGTGAATGATTAACAGGACCTCAACTATAATGGAGCGAGAGAGTGGTAGAAACACTCAGAAATGCCACCAATTCACATTTGTAGATGAAAAGTATCCTTCCAAATATCTGTGACTGAATAAAAACATTATTTCACTGCTGAGCATGCTTACTCTAAAATGTCTAGTCACCCATATCAAAGGCAGCGCATGAATAAAAACATAGCAGAAAATATATCTGGATGTCTCTACAATAGGTAGGTATCACTAAGAAGCATAAAATTATTTCACATAATTTATCTTATTTGGTATGCAAAATCTCAATCATACGCATCTTTTTTGAATCTCACGCAAAACTCCTAATTCTCCACTAGATTCCACCACCAAGTATGGGTGTTTTCAGTCTTTCCGATGCATGAAGGGATTTGCTAATCAAAATCCCAGCATTACACAAGAAGTCTAGAATTCCTTTCCTGTAGAAAGAACAAGGTGGACAAGAATTTTCATTGTGTGCCTAAAAAAAAAAAAAACCCTATGAAGTATACTAGATCAAAAAGTTCACTGGACAAAAATAGAATAGGAGGCAAATGCTGCTGAACATAAAGTACAGAGTAAACTTCCCTCTCTTTGGCCCAGATTGAATCTTACCTAACATGAATGCAGGGCTGCATGCAGAGGGAAAGAAGGCTCCCAAATGACTCACAATTCTGGCAGGCAGAAGCACCCCAGGTTTAGAGGGGGAAGGACCCGGCAGTGATGTGCCCACTACATACCCCACGCACTCTCTAGACAACATAGGTAACTAACTTTAAAGGACACAAAATAAGACCCCATTCGACAATATTTTTCAACAAACATTTAACTGTTCATATATAATCAAAGAACAGATCAAGCGCCACTAATGACACTTCATTCCCTTTAGAAATTTTGGGGGAATGTTCTGAGTCTGCCAAAGAACTGATTAGCATATGGTTCAACTTTCTTGGTCCTGAAATCCATCCTTCTGCTCTTTAAAACTCTGGGTATTTTCCTTTCCGCTGTCATTCACCTGCCATCTGGAGCTTTTCCCTAAGCCATAGTAATGCTGAAAAGTATTTCCCTGATTGATCTACAGTGACGCCTACAAAGGTGGTACATCTCATACTCCCTTTTCCTACTTCATCCTCCATGTCATTGGTCCTTCTTCATATCTAATTTTTAGTAAAAATGCCACCGGGTTGCGAAGGTATATACCATCATGTGCCACATAGTGATGTTTCAGTCAATGACAATCTACATATACGTTGGGGGCAATAAGATTATAATGGAGTTGAAAAATTCCTATCACCTCGTGATATCTCGATGATCCTGACTCTGTGTAGGCCTATGCTAATGTGTGTGTGTCTTAGGTTTTAACAAAAAAGTTTAAAAAGTAAAAAAATAAGTAAAAAATTTTTAAAATACATAAAAGCTTATAGAATAAGGATATAAAAATATTTTTGTACAATGTGTTTGTGTTTTAAGCTAAATGTTATCACAAAAGTAAAAAAGTTTTTAAAGAAAATTTTATATAGTAAAAAAGCTATAATAATAGCCAGGCACAGTGGCCCACACTCGGAATCCCAGCACTACGGGAGGCCAAGGCAGGTTCACTTGAGGCCAGGAGTTTGAGACCAGCCTGGGCAACATAGCCAGACCCTGTCTCCAAAAAAAAAAAAAAAGAGTTATGATAAGCTAAAGTTAATTCATTAAAGAAAGACAAATTAAAAAAAAAATAAACAAATTTAGTGTAGCCTAAGTGTCCAGAGTTTGTAAAGTCTACAGTAGTGCACAGTACCATCCTAGGCTTCACATTCACTCGCTACTCACTAACTGACTCACCCAGAGCAACTTCCAGTCCTGCAAACTCCATTCATGGTTAAGTGCCCTATACAGGTACATCATTTTTTATTTTTCTTACCACATTTTATTGTACCTGTTCTACATTTAGATATGTTTAGATACACAAATGCTTACACTGTGGTACAACTGCCTACAGAACTCAGTGCAGTGACTTGCCGCACAGGTGCGGGGCCTGGGAGCAACAGGCTGCACTGTCTAGGTTTGTGTGAGTGCACCCTGTGAGGTTCGCACAGCCACAAAATCACCTCGCGACGCATTTCCCAGAACTATGCCCTGTTGCTAAACGGTCAACGACTGTATTGCAACCTACTCCACTTAAATTTTGTGATAAAGTAATCTTGTAACAAAGTTAAACTGAAACTTAACACGGAATGTGGCCCAAGGTGATCACCTGAGAACTCCAAGGACCTTGCAAAAGTCTATCTAGGTTTCCCAGGAGAAATGGGGGAGGGAGAGGAGACGGCACTTGACAAAAGACTAACCAACCAATTTAGTCAGATTTAACTGTTTAAATTATTTTCGATCCTATTGAAAATTCACCTCCTTCCTGATCAGCCAGAAGATACACACAGAGATAAGAATTCTCATCAACTTTTAGTCAGAGGTTTGTTTCCAACAAAAATCACAGCTTTCTGTTTAAGTAAAAAGACTTCTCCTAGACCTTTTTGGTGCCAGGCGCACTGGCTCATGCCTGTAATCCTAGCACTCTGGGAGGCCGAGGTGGGCGGATTGCTCAAGATCAGGAGTTCAAAACTAGCCTGAGCGAGACCCCATCTCTACTAAAAATAGAAAGAAATTAATTGACCAACTAAAAATATACATACAAAAAATATGCCGGGCATGGTAGCACATGCCTGTAGTCCCAGCTACTCGAGACGCTGAGGCAGTAGGATTGCTTGAGCCCAGGAGTTTGAGGCTGCTGTGAGCTAGGCTGATGCCACGGCACTCACTCTAGCCTGGGCAACAAAGTGAGACTCTGTCTCAAAAAAAAAAAAAAAAAAAAAAAAAAGACCTTTTTAGAACATTTCCCACACATTATTGACACTAGACAGGTAATTTTTAGTCCTGGGATTTTTGTTTTATCCATAGAGAATATGAAGAAGGTGGTTAGCACTGACACTTGAATTCTGTATATAAAGTGTGATTCCTGAAAGCACAGCTAGGATTTCTGGAAACTATCAAATCTCTACTTGCCTATCTCATGCTACTTTTAAAAATAAAAACAAACCAAAAACAAACAAACAAACTTAAAAAACCCCACGCTAAACAGAATAAGCCAAGGATTCAGAAATAAGGCAGAAATCTCAAAAGGAAATCTCTGGTGTTTCTGATTCCACATAAGAGTTAAGCAAAATAGTGAAGACCGAAGTAAAAAGTCATGAGCTTTGCATCTGCCCCGCTGCTCTTCAAAGATCAAGTCAGTTCACCAAAACCAAAGCAGCAGGCTGCCAAACTCACATGGACCCACAGAGCACAATACCCAGCACCCTTCATCACTCACGTTATTAAACGCGACTTTGCCTTCTTGGGTGAGTCTAAGATTTCATTAACGTGATTACCAGTGGTAGAACAAAAGTCACTGCTTGTTAGAGTTGTAGTTGGCTTAAAGGGATCCATGGATTCGTCAAAGTTATCTGGGTCAAAGTGGTAGGAACCCTTAGAGGAGACGGGAGGGGAGTTCTGCAGGATGGAGCGGCTCCCAAAGGGATCAAAGCTGGGGTTGTCCCACTGACTGGGATCTAGTTTAGAAGACGCCTGAGAGACAGGTACTTCTCTTGGTGGGTCTGCAGGCTGCTCTACACCTGCTGGCTTACTGATGCCATCTTTTGGTATCTTGGGAGTCAGTTTGTTACCAAGTTTCCTGCCAAGTTTCCTTGGAAGGGCTTTCCTGGCCTCTGCATTTTCCACATCTTCTGTGTAATCAAACTCAAGCTTCAGAGGTGAGCTCCTTGCCTCCTCCGGTAGCTCGACCCCCAAATCACTGGTATCACTACTGAGGGAGCCTGAGATTTCTCCTAGCAAAGAAGGATCTGTGTTCCCATCCAGTTCTCCGGGATATTGGCAGGATGCCTTGGAGAGATGCGTGCCTTCCAAAGCAGTTTCAGGGTCTGAGAACTCTCCTCCAATTGTTTTCTTCCTTAGAGAGATGGGTTTGGGCTTTCTTAGTTTGCTTCTGCAGGGCACGGGCTCGGGACAGGAGCTTCCGGCCTTGAGATCAGCTTCTGTGGGTGCCTCAAGCGTAACCCCCATGCTGCCTTCTGTCATTGCCTGGTCCTGGATGGCGCCGGCTGCACTGGGGGGCAAGGCCTCACCTGAGACTGCAGTCACACAGCCATGAGCAGCTTTTGTTCCCTGAGCTGCCGGGAGGTCTGTGGAATTCTTGGTTTCTATTGAAAATGGCCTCACGACCAAAATTTTGCTAGTATCGTGTTCAGGTTCTTCTTTGAAATCCTTGACTAAGTGAGAACCAGCAGCCTGCTGAGATACCTCATTTTCTGAAGGTCTAGAACAATTCTCAGATGAACATTTTCCAACCACTTCAGCTACCAGTCGTTCATCAGCTTCTTGTGATTCTAAAACAAAACACAAAAGCCTTCTATGAAAGAATTATCGTTCTGGCATTCGTAAATATTCTCTACCACCTGAATTCACATAAACAAACAGCAAATCCTCCCCTTTTTGCTTTTACTAAGCACCTCCAAAATTCAGCAAGGATGGTGGCACAGGCTGAAAGAGAACAGCTGGCATATAGCCTAAAATCAATTTTCCTACCCCAAATTGTACATGTGCACTATTGAAGGGATGTGAATAACAAGTATGCCAGCAGAGCTATTTAGAAAAAGGCTAAATAGATCAAGAGTCTATTGCAGGCCAGGTGTGGTGGCTCACGCCTGTAATCCTAGTACTCTGGGAGGCCAAGGCGGGCGGATTTCTCGAAGTCAGGAGTTCAAAACCAGCTTGAGCAAGAGAGAGACCCTGTCTCTACTATAAATAGAAATTAATTGGCCGACTAATATATATAGAAAACATAGGCAGGCATGGTGGCACATGCCTGTAGTCCCAGCTACTGGGGAGGCTGAGGCAGTAGGATCGCTTGAGCCCAGGAGTTTGAGGCTGCTGTGAGCTAGGCTGACGCCACGGCACTCACTCTAGCCTGGGCAACAAAGCAAGACTCTGTCTCAAAAAAAAAAAAAAAAAGTCTATTGCAATGTATATAATATAGGTTAAACCTGGTTAGGAGGAATCTTTAGACACCAACAGCTTAGCTAGCTGTGGGGATGCTCATCGGCACAGAAACAAAAGGTTCCCAGGAATGGCTCAATAGCTTCAGGGTCAGAATTTTATGCAGTGAGCAGATCTGAGTCTTTGGATGTTAAATACACAACTTGAAGAAGGGGTTATGGGAACCCCCAATTTAAGGTCAGAGGTACCGAGGTACCGAGACTTGTGACTGGCTTCTGAAGTGGGGGCAGTCATGTGGGACTGAGCCCTTAACTTGTGGGGTCTATGCTAAAAACAGATGGTGTCAGAACTCAACTGCTGGACACTCGGTTGGTGTTGGAGAATCTGAAAACAAACGAAACAGGAAATCTGCTTTGAAACAATCACTACTTAATAAATAGGGTCACTGAAGTGTCTGAGCTTTTTTTTAAAAATGATATTTTTAAATATTTCAGTGTTATATTTTCTACCAAAAAGATTTAAACTTATGAGAGAAACCATTTTATGTACTTTTTCATGTCTAAAAACTTAATAAATTAAATCAATCATTAGATATTGTTAGTAACAGACCAGGGGTGGTGGCTCATGCCTGTAATCCTAACACTCTGGGAGGCCAAGGAGGAAGGATCGTTTGAGCTCAGGAGTTCGAGACTGGCCTGAGCAAGAGCAAGACCCTGTCTCTACTAAAAAAATGGAAAGAAGTTAGCTGGACAACTAAAAAAACTCATATATATATAAGTTAGCTGGGCATGGTGGCACGTGCCTGTAGTCCCAGCTACTCGGGAGGCTGAGGCAGAAGGATCGCTTGAGCCCAGGACTTTGAAATTGCTGTGAGCTAGGCTGATGCCAAGGCACTCTAGCTAGGGCAACAGAGTGAGACTGTTTCAAAAAAAAAGATATTGTTAGTAACAATTCTGAAACACGAACTCCCTTCTGCTCTTCTTTAAGACATCTGGAACACCAGCCTGAGAATGAGCAAGAGTAAGACCCCCGTGTCTCTTCTAAAAATAGAAATAAATTAACTGACCAACTAAGAATATATAGAAAAAATTAGCAGGGCATGGTGGTGCATGCTGTAGTCCCAGCTACTCAGGAGGCTGAGGCAGGAGGATTACTAAACCCAGGAGTTTGAGGTTGCTGTAAGCTAGTCTGATGCCACGGCACTCTAGCCGGGGCAACAGAGTGAGACTCTGTCTCAAAAAATAAAAATAAAAAAAGTAGGACATCTGGAATAGTTTAATTAAAGCATACACTCAGGTACTAAGCTGAACTGTTTAAAAATTTATTATTTGTAACTACTGACTTACATAAATCAAGGTTCTTTCAATAACATGTAACCCAAACACTATTGAAAAATAGATTTTAAGTAGACTCTAATTTAGTTATTTTGTATGTTTTAATCACATAAATCCCATTGTTTTTATTTTTATTTATTTTTTTTGAGACAGAGTCTCGCTTTGTTGCCCAGGCTAGAGTGCCGTGGCATCAGCCTAGCTCACAGCAACCTCAAACTCCTGGGCTCAAGCGATCCTACTGCCTCAGCCTCCCCAGTGGCTGGGACTACAGGCATGCACCACCATGCCCGGCTAATTTTTTCTATATATATTAGTTGGCCAATTAATTTATTTCTGTTTATAGTAGAGATGGGGTCTCGCTCTTGCTCAAGCTAGTTTCAAACTCCTGACCTCGAGCAATCCACCCGCCTCGGCCTCCCAGAGTGCTAAGATTACAGGTGTCTGGCCCCGAGCCACCATTTCTACACCTAGAAAACTATTTTGCATTAACAGATCAAGTGATATACAACATAACATGGTAGACACTCAGTAAAGTTATTGTTCCCCAACCTTTCAGTTCCCCATCCAAATTTTTCTTTGAATCATTTTACTATACATCAAATTGATGTACTAGAAGAATTTGTTACCCAAATAAATCATGATGGATTTGGTAAAATAAATATTCCACTTCTAAAATAGTGGTAATAAATGTGTAGAATTTATACTTAAAGTGATATTTGCCCCCAAATTAATTAGCCTATATTATTAATAAATGTTATGACAGGAAGTACCTCCTTTCATTTGCTGTGCATATGCTTTCCAACTAATTTTTGTGTTTTGTTTTTTTTTTTTTTTGAGACAGAATCTCACTCTGTTGCCCAGGCTAGAGTGAGTGCCGTGGCGTCAGCCTAGCTCACAGCAACCTCAGACTCCTGGGCTCAAGCGATCCTCCTGCCTCAGCCTCCTGAGTAGCTAGGACTACAGTCATATGCCACCATGCCCAGCTAATTTTTTTTACATATATTTTTTTAGTTGGCCAATTAATTTCTATTTTTAGTAGAGACAGGGTCTCGCTCTTGCTCAGACTGGTTTCAAACTCCTGACTTTGAATGATCTACCGGCCTTGGACCACAATAGTGCTAGGATTACAGGCGTGAGCCACCGCACCCAGCCCCAACTAATTTTTTTAATTTGGTTCTTTAGTTTTGGGGTCTACAGAGAGGTGCTTCTGGGCTGGCCATGGTAGCTTATGTTCCACTTTCTACTTATGTTTGAAACACTCTGATTATCTGAATTCTATTCTCTGGAACAGGGAATATAATTGCTTAACGACAGAGATACATTCTGAGAAACGTGTTGTTAGGTGATTCTGGTGCTGTGGGAACATCACAGAGTGCACTTACACAAACCTAGAAGGTGTAGCCTTCTAGACTCCTAGGCTATATGGTACAGCCTATTGCTGCTAGGCTACAAACCTGTACAGCAGGTGACTGCAATGAATATGGTAGGCAACTGCAACACAGTGGTATTTTGTATCTGACCACAGAAAAGGTACAGTAAAAATACAGTATTATGATCTTATAGGATCCTTTCACCAAGTTGATAGCCTGAAATTCTGGAGTGGGAGGGTGTACCTCCCAGGGACAGGGCTGGGCTGAAAGCTGAGGAGGAAGGAGGAGCACACTTCGCAGCCTAAAACAAAAGCTCTAGCCCCAGCCCTGCCCAGCCATTGTCTCTGAACACAGACAGCTTCTGCAGATTAAGGAGGGTCAGTGGCTGTCATCCCCTCACTCCATACCTACCAGGGATAGCTACAGATATGGAAACAAAGCAAAGGGCTTTGTGTGAAATAGCTTCTGCCCCACACAGTCCTCTTATTGGTGTTTGTGTCTGGAAATCGAGGTTGAAGCAGTGTTCACGTGGGTGTTACAGAAACCTTTTCTACTACACCAGAAAGCCTGCAGCCCTGCCCTTGTGGAACGGGGAAGGAAGACAGACACCCCTCATCTGGCTGCAGTTCCCAGGCTGAGCAGACGGCTGAGAGAGATCCGCTGGAAAGACACCTGCTCAGTCTTATTTCTTGGCCAGCTCAGGACAGGTACCAGGTAAATAAGCTTGCTAGCTAAATAAGTAGCTATACCTACTCACTGCAGACCCCACCTGAGTCTCTTCAGTCACCAACAGAAAGTCCTAACGGGGCGGAGGAAGATATTGCTCATTTACCTATTAAACCAATTTGGGTGCTGTGAGAATACAAAACAAGAAAAAACACAAACTAACCACATACCCCAAAAAGATGTCTGGGTAGGATTTTATTTGGCACTTGTGCTATCTATCAATCAGCAAGTATCCCGGTACCATCTCAACCCACATATCCAGTGCTGCCCTAAAACAGAACCTGGCATTCAAGTATCCCACAAGTAAATTTTAGTAAGAAGTAAAACACCCAGATTCTCCGTAGGCTCCAGTTCCCAATCTTCCACCAATTAAGAGGTCTAGCCACAGCTGTTGGTCCTTGCTTTCCATACTGTTATGTAACTAACCTACCTTTATGTGCCTTTCCATTTGCACAAAAATTTTGTATTCCCTAAAAATCTTCTTCCAGGGCACAGAAAAGCTCTCTCCCTAGAATGATGAGTTTTATTCTGACAAGCACAGCACTGCCTGTGGGCTTGGTGAACACAGACCTTTAGAGATTAGATCAGTAGATAAATTCAAAGCAAACACAGAGGAAATCCAAAAATAGACCAGCATTTCCATTTCTGCCACATTTGTTGCTGTTAATGAAACTCTTTCTTTCAATAATCAGCCTTCCCTAACTCTACAAGGTTGTGTGAATCACCCACAGGCTGCTCTTAAAACAGCAGATGCCTTTTATGCCTATGTGGGATAAAGACTATTCTCATGTAAAACAAGTTCTTCCCTCCCTCTCTGCAATATTTTTAAAAGAAAAGGCATGGAATGCCAGAATTTTAAGTACTGAGGTAAAAACAGCTTAACATTCTAGTTTGCACTCTAGTATGCTGAAAATATATTGGGTTAAAATACAAGTTTATGAAGAACCTTGAAAGCCTTAG